TGGTATGTGGTCTAGCATTAACATGGAGAAAAAAAGCACCTTTGCAATTGACCAATTCTGGATGCTTCTGTTTGATGGCATCATTTAATTCATCCAGTTGACGACAGTACATGTCCAAATTAATGGTTTGGTTCCTTGAAAGCAATTAAAAATACACAGAATCATAAGGTTCGAAGAGACCTCTAGGATCATTGAGTCCAACCATCAACCTAACACCACCATGCTCACTAAGCCATGTCCTGAAGTGCCACATTCACAGACTTCTTGAACACCTCCAGAGATGGTGACTCCACCACCTCCTTGGGCAGCCTGTTCCAGTGTTTGACCCCTCTTTCAGTAAATAAATTTTTCCTGATATCCAATCTAAACCTCCCCTGGTGCAACTTGAGGCCATTTCCTCTTGTCCTGTCACTGGTTACATGGAAGAAGAGACCCACCTCTCTACAACTTCCTTTCAGGTAAAGAGAGCAATAAGGTCTCCCCTCAGTCTCCTCTTCTCCAAACTAAACAACCCCAGCTCGATCAGCTGCTCCTCATAAGGATTGTTCTCCAGAACCTTCACCAGCTCTGTTGCTCTTCTCTGGACATGCTCCAGCGTCTCAATGTCCTTCTCATAGTGAGGGGCCCAAAACTGAACACAATACCTTTGAAATCCCACCAGACTGACAGCATAACTCGCCTTTGGTGCATATCTGCTTTTGAAGTGCTTTGAGCTGGTTCATCACACTTGCTCCACTATCTTTTTCATTTGACATTGTTGTAGATGATCCATTTTTCATCGCCTGTCATCATACGTTTCAAAAACATCAACACACTTAGTGAGATGAACTTCTTTGAGCTCATGTGATACCCAAATACCGGGCTTCCGAATGTATCCAAGTTGTTTTAAATGGTTTTTAATGCTCAATTTCAATATGTTGTGATTATCAGCAATCTCTTGTGTTTTTAAATGCCAATTGGAATCAATCAATGCCTTTATTTTGTCATCATCGACTTCGATTTGCCTTCCTGAGCACAGTGCATCTTTAACATCAAAATCTCTGGACTGAAACTTAGCAAAAAATTCTGACACTGCCATGGTTTTAAGGCTTCTTCACCACACAGATCACATAACTTTTTATGAGCTTGCACAGTGTTTTTTCCTTTTCTGAAGTAATACAGCAAAATATGACGATGGTGTTCCTTTTGATTTTCCATTTTGAAATCAAAGCCAAATAAATGTTAATGAATAATGCACTTTCTTTTTCTAAAACAAGCTTGAGCTGTCAGCTGTCAAGTTACATAATGAATCCGTGGTTTAAAATTAAGTTAGCTACATTTCAAGACATGTCCCATCTATTAGAAAAAATATGCAATTAATTTTTGGCCAACCCAATATATCCTTCTTTTCCCCTTCCAGCAGAAACTACACAGTGTCTCATGTCTATTAATAAAAAAATCTACAAAAGTTTTATTCTTGCCTGTACTAAGGAACTAAGTATCTCTCATATGTTAGGAGCACATGATTCCTGCACAGAAAGCCATTCATTTTTCACTCCATATTCAGGAAATGATTGACCTGACATGGGTTTTGGGCGTAAAAAAGTGAGGAAAAGGAATGCTGTTCTTCCTGAATGCTGCTACACTGGCAGCAACAAACAAAAGAAGCATACCAGCCCTAGAGGCATTTTGCTTTCTGTTCAGGGTCAATAAATCCAAGCAAGCCAAGCCTGAAGATCCGCCACCTTCGATGGATTTATGTCACCACTTATGGTAGCAGTAGTCTTCACTGTGATTCTTTCCTGAAGGATGGGAATTGCAAGTCTAAACAATTTCTGAATGATGAACAAGGGACGATCCTTGTCATTTGCATAGCACTTGAAATAAGGGAGGGGAAACATGAAGGACTGAAGTGCAACATGGGACACTGCTGAAGGAGCTTGCAAGCAGCTTTAATTTCTCAGATCAGTAACTCCCTCTAAGACTTGGTCTTGAAGAGCCAGGAAAAACCACACTAAAAGCTACACAGCTATGATGAAGAAAAACTCTTTTTTTGTAGTACAGATTCCTGCAGTTTTTGTAAATTCTATGCAAATGCTAAATGTCCCTAGATACAGCCTGTTCTGAGGTAACAAGGAACTGAGGACTGTGGAAAATGACCCTCAGAGGAAGAAGAGTATTTAAATCCCAGAAGAAGAATTAATGTAATCAGAAAAGAGCAGACAAGTGAATACGAGAAGAAAGGCGATGTTTCTTATAACAATAACCTCTTACTCCAATCTCAAAGTACTTGAGAATAAAATTATAAAATAGCAGACTCTGTGTGTGTCATTGTACATAGCACATAACAGAAACAGGGACTCTGTTCATGTCCTACAGCTATTGATGAAAGTTCTCCATCTCAAGCACTACACCAAATATGTAACTTCTGTATTAATAAACAAATTTTAAAAAAATGTGTATTAATAACGGTTACACGTGTCACAAATTTATAAAGAAGAGGCAGCAGCCAGAAAGCCTAAGCAACAGAGAGACAAGGAAATGAAGCAACTAGTGGATCTCCTACGAATCACTGTTGTGTTCCTGAATTTAAATGTTTTGCTGTGTAGGAAGTACCACTCCCTCTCACCCCCCAAACAAATAAACAAACAAAAAATCCCACTCAAGCACATTTTAATCTAAGTCTCTGTCCGCCAAAAAGCATTTAGAACATTACTGGAAAAGAACAGAAAACTAAAAATACTTGGACTTCATAACAGCTACATTTTAATTTTATATTTAATTCTTATTACCTGTATTATACCAAGCCAGTAGGAAGTCAAATTCTAAAGGTTTCTTTTCTTTCAAAGCCCAAAGCACTCTGTTATGTTTCTTGCTATCAGGGTGAAAGCTGGAATCAGTCAAGTCAATAGTTATAACTGCAAAAATGTACAAAAGCAATTGTTACCCAATTGCAATGAACTATAATACTAAATTCATTAAGAACTAAAAAATACAAAGAAACCAAAGAACATTAAACTTCCTTTTCACAGATACAGCATCTTTACAAAGTATTTTATTATGCATATATGACTCCTCATTATGTAAATAACTATTCTTCTCCTGCTGTCCTTATTCTGATATAAACTGGAACTGCCTTCTAGTAACTGGAGGCACAGAATCCTTTTGTAATGGCAGTGACAGAAGTCCCAGAACAGAGCCTTAAAAATATCTTGGTGATTAGGCAAGCTATTAGCACTAAAAAAATCTAGAATTTCTAACATATACAGCAATGACACTTTTTCAAATGTTCTTTTTTTTTCCTTTTTCCTAGATGAATTGGTCCTAGGCTAAAAGTTACATTTATTCTTCAGATGGAAATTTCATCACACAACTTACTTGACAAGCTGAATAGTAAAATGATGTCCCATTTTGCCAAAATTCTTGAAGGTGATTCTTGTTAGGTAACAAGCTTCTCCTGAAGTTTTTTTTTACATAACTACCTATCAACTACTGCAGGTTCTAATACATTTGAGATGGCACAGAGTTTGTGCATTTTTTTTAATTATTAAAAAAAAAATAAATAAATCATCACACTCAGTATGTCTCTTCTGTGGCTGTTAAAAAAGTTACATTTTCCAAGTACTTGGTATATGAAGATTACAATCTTAAATGTGTCAACTGCAATACAATTCTCCCTTTGAAGCAAGCAGTCTCGGGTGAGGCTCTTCACTGATTTTTTTTGTATAGTGTGCCAATTTTAAGCTCTACCTTAATTAGTTTAGTATTTTCTAATTTACAACAGAAGGCATAGATACTGTGCACAATATAAAAGATTTCTTGAGTCCTACATCACTCTAAAGTAACACAATGAAAACTCCAGAAATTAAAAATTTTACAGAACACCCAAAAGATCATACATTTGTTTCCTTATAGCTGCTTTATTATTTGGAAAAAAAAGTATTTTTTCCTCTTCATGCAGTCCTTTTATCTGCATCTAAAAAAATACAATCTAGGCAATAAGCAATTTTAAGGAAAGTGAAGTTTCAGCATTGCTAGTTTAACATCCTAACAAGGTACTTCACAGACAGATGTGAATTAAATACTGCTAATATAAATAATACTTACTGTATCTCATTACTTTTTTGCCAGAATACCGAGAAGGGTGACCTTGCAGTCCAAGTTCCTCATAAGTATCCTTATCCACTGATAGGATTAGTTTCCCTATAAACAAAACACACTTTAGTACAAATAATCTTCTACTTAGCTCCCTTTGAAATCTTCTGAGAACCATTCATATCTTATATAATGTTAGCTTTGGAGTAATGATATTACTAATGTAATCCAAACTCCTTCATTCCAGTTAAATGGACTATTAGAATAAGGCTAAAAAACCAGTTATAACTCAATTGCTCTTTTTTATTGAAGAGACATCTTATGAACTAGAATGATAAAAGTGTAATGTTACACCTGAGATAGCCATAGCTTGTTTACTGTACTACCTCACTTCATTTCCTCAGTCTTTCCTCTATTTGACCCTAGCATTTGCTGTGTCATTGGTTGAACACTACACGACAGTATGGCCTGATTTAGAAAACATTTACGCATGCACTGCTCAACTAAACGTACAAAAAATACTTCCTCCAACTCCAGTGGGACTACTCACATTGAGTCAACTATGCTTATTAGTGATGAGTAGCTATGCACTGGAACAATTCCAGTTCCATGTTCATAGACCACATCTGGCAGCTGCCACTTGGCACAGAATTTCACGTGACAGATCTCTACTATTGCCTTTTGAGTATACTGTACAAGCAACAATATAATAGAGAATACAAACAAATAAGGTTGTTGCTGAAGATGGTGACATCACCAGTAACACTAACGCTCTCTCTGCATTAACTGTGCATAGCTTGTAATAACTGTATCATACAACCTCAATCTCTATCAAGCATCCATTTTGCTAGTGCTGTGCTAACAAAGCACATAAAAGAATTCCTCCTCTGAAGAATCTGGATTTACTTAAGCCCTAATGGGCACCTGTCATACTACAGCATCTTCGGCTGGAAGGCTGATAGATCAATTTGTGTTTCTTGAGCCCCCAACATAAGGGCAAGGAGCTTTTGAAGGGAGTCCAGAGGAGGGCCATGAAGATCATGGAGAACATGGAACAACTCCTCTATGAGGCCAGGCTGAGAAAATTGGGGTTGTTCAGCCTATAGAAGACTCCAGGGAGACCTTAGAGCAGCCTTCCAGTGCTTAAAGGGGGCCTACAGGAAAGATGGGGAGGGACTCTATCAAGAAGTGTAGTGATAGGATGAGCGTAATGGTTTCAAACTAGAAGAGGGTAGATTTAGATCAGACATTAGGAAGAAATTCTTTACTGTGAGGGTGGTGAGACACTGGCACAGGTTGCCCAGGGAAGCTGTGGATGCCCCCTCCCTGGAAGTGTTCAAGGCCAGGATGGACAGGGCTTTGAGCAACCTGGTCTAGTGGGAGGTGTCCCTGCATTTTGTCATAAAACTGTGATGGAATTACAACAGAGTATTTTAACAAATTACATCTTTCTCAAAGAATAAATACTGAATATTTAAAAAGTGTTCCTAAACAGTGCTGATAATTTCCCTTTTTGGTACAAATTCTGTCTTTAAGGCCAGTAGGAAACAAGAAATTGCAATGCAGTATTTTCAGAAAAACAATCCTCTGGAGCAATTGCAAATACAGTTGAAGAACTGACAATCTGATACTATTCATAAGTGAAGGTGATTTAAAAAAATAATTTCCTCTAGATGAAATAAATAATTTAACAGCATGAATGGAAAAAAAAGCTAAAATTAATATTTTTCTGATTGAAACATATTTCTAATAAAGTTGGGAAGTACAGTAAGCATTAAATTTTCCAGTTTATACAATTCCAAATAAAAAAAACAAACCCAAGACCATAATCAGAATGCATGTATTACTAAAAACAAAAACCCCCATACCATTTGGTAGCAGAGCTGCAGTATTATCTTGATCAATTTTTGTGTTGTAAGTAAGTGCATAGCATGAACCTTTAATAGTAAAACAGAAAATCATGAGATTCCAGTCTTTAAAGACAGACATGATAATACAAAAATAATCAAACATGCCAAATACCATTTGAATCTTTCTAAATCCTTGCGTTTTGATCAAGTAATTTTCTTACACATTCTCAAGCAAAATAGCATTTGGTTATTATTTTTATAAACCTTGGTCTGGCACTATTTTAAAGGATCTGTAACAGAGAATATTAACAATATGCCCCAATATGAAAATACTTGTTTTCCACCTGTGACCTTCCCCACTCAGCAAATGGAAAACCCCACTTTTTTCCAGATGCATTTCTATTCTCAGTTCCCACAAAGACAAGGTAGAAGATGTTCACATTACTAAATGTATTTTGTACCATTATCTGCCACAACCAATTTTGGTTTCTACAATACAAGCGTCAGATCCTGTAAACATTGTGTACAAATGTCATTCCGCTTCCGTGAAGCGACTGACAAAAAACATTAATGAGACTTAGGGAAATAAGAAGAGTCCCACATTTAGCAAGTAATGGAACTCTTATTCTCCTATTTCATCTACATCTTCCCTGTTCTCCTCTTTTTTCCCTTTAAAGCTTTTTTTTTTTCCCCCTCTCCCTGGCACTCATCTGAAGGGTACAATAGTTTCTAATTAGGAATCAGAAAGGGAGCTGATTTCTGCAGGATTCCATATAAAGATGGGGTCTAGAAGAAACAAGTGTGAAGCCCTCTTGATAGAGGGCTTGCAGAATGAAGATGCAATAGGGAGAACTGAAGAGGAAGCAATCATACAAGTTTTGGATCCACTGAGTGCAAACAAATGTTCACACACCACAAAACAGAAAAAAACAGATAAATAAATGCAGAATTTTCTTAGTATTTTTTTCTTCCCTTCCTTTAAAATATCTTTCAGAATAAATAATGGATTTTGCTGTTATGAAAAATATACACTATTACTGCATCTGTCATGTTCCAATTTCCTCCTTACCTTTCTTCACAAAAGCATCAACGAATTCATGAGTGACCAATTCATGAACCGATAAATTCCTCACCAGGTAGTACTCTCCAACATCCGCGATGGTACTTTTCAGCACTTCAGGTAGCACGCCACATTCAGGGATCAAGAAAGACACCTATTAGGGACATATTTGTAATGTAAATCATATCCTAAAATCTGCTCTGGAAGAAAACCAAGAAATAAAAAGAAAAATTCTTTTAAAAGAGATCAGTATGCTACACCGAAATGAGACGAAGAAAAAGTAATTTCAAGCTATTGTATCCGTTTGCACAGTGTCTCCAAGTACAGCATAGACGTTATTTGGTTTTTGCATTTTACACACTACACAATAGCATCTGAGGTGTTACATAAAGGCACAATTTTACACAGCATGATTTCACTAATGAGCTTGTTTCACGTCATTATAAATTTAGCTTGAAGTCACACTGGAACATTTGCTTCAGCCCTTCCTGAAGGATGCAGTTACAACTAAAAATGTAGGCTAAGCATTTATGTAATCTCAGTGCAAAAGCCAAGACCAAAGTAGAATTTAAACTACTTTTGGAATCAGTGCTTTCTGCTCTGTAGAATATTTTGTTGGTCAGAAGAGTGAACAGACTATCAGAAAAAAACCTTGAAGATGAATTTATGATTTTCAAAAAAACAACTTCTAAGGCATATGTTAAGGCTACAACTTCTGTAGCAGGTTTCAATTTCAGGTAGGAAACTGATTTTTCAAAAGGGATGAGTACCTAGCTTTTCTCACTAAACTCATCATTCACCCTTTTGGTCCAATAACCTACCTCTGATTTCCTTTTCGTTTAAAACCTTTTCTGTCATGTTTCATATATCAAGAGAACTCTTAAGTCTGGGAGAGCAGGGCAAACAAGGTTATTACATGGACAAGTACCAAGCTTCCCAACAGGTATGCCCAAGCAGCACCAAGGTCTGTCCTGCTGCTCCTTCTCCCTCCATCCCTCAAAAAACTTTCCTCCAAGAGCTGTGAGAGAACAGGTACATATCCCTGTTTGCATGCATATGCAAGAGAAGTAACAACTGACAGATGAGCTGCCTGCTTAGTATGGAAAAAGCAAGCGGATCTGACTGAAACTTGCAACAGTCCAAGGCGAGCAAGCTGGCAAAAAGTGGACTTTGCAAAGTTTTGTTGTCCAAAACAACAAAGCAGCTGATGGCACAACATGATACCTCAGTACAAGTTTCATGAGAAAGGACTTCCAGGGTACGCTTGCAGCCAGGCCTCGGATGAAAGCTCTCTCACTAACGAGGGATGTCCTCGGTGCTTGGACTAGGAATTTGTGGGTGCCACTCCCTGCACATCTTGCTGGGTAGCACTGAAAAAACACTGTTACCTCCTCCACTGGGTCACCCCCTCTTCTCTTCTACCTCGTGTCCGCACCGTCTTTCACTCTTTGAGGTGCTGCACGCTGCGTGCGACCACCAAGCCAACAGCGGGAGAATACTTCTTTTCCTCCCCCGCCTTGGAGGAGGATGGGGGACCCTTCCAGAAGACAGCCCGGCGTGAGGGGGA